AGAGAGAGAGAGAGCGATGCAGAGCGTGTGCAGAGCAGGGGACGCGAGGGACAATATTAAGAACCGCTGCTTTAGAACATTGATTTTGAAACTTGTGAATCCATTAGAATCATTAGAAAACAGAATCGCGATTCATATATGAATAGAATTTTACGAGCACCTCTAGTTTTCTCTAAAGCAGCGCAGCATGGCCCCGCCCCCTTTGCTGCCTTTTCCCGAGGGCGGGGTTTATCTGGGTTTGTGATGTCACGAACCCAGGAAGTAACTTGTTGTAGTCCCTACCAGCTGTTTTTGTAGGCATTAAACCGCCAGAGTTTTAAAAGACGATATCTCCGTTTGCATTGAACTTTCAGCTCCGTAACTTTGCAGATATTGTTTATGCTCAAACACCAACATTACACACTAACTAACATTAAAAAAGTGAAATCGCAATCAACCACCCCTTTAAAGCTCTTTTGTTGATTATTTAGATTAAACATGCAGCCCTAGTTGAGCATATCTTTACCAAAACCTTTTTCCTCAAGTAAAATTCTTCCAAGTAGAACAAATGTTTTTCTTGTCTTTATGCTGCAGGTGCTGTGAAGTATCTGGAATGCTCCGCTCTGACTCAGCGCGGTCTAAAGACTGTATTTGACGAGGCCATCCGCGCCGTCCTCTGCCCTCCGCCCGTCAAAAAACGCGGCAAGCGCTGCACTCTCTTCTGAGTAAACGCCACAACAATTCCTGGCACTCCACACAAAGCTACAATATTTTTAATCAGCCTCTTGGAAAATATATTGTACTACTCTCACAGGTTCGGTGACAGCCGTCCATCAAGTTCTAATGCACATTACATGAATATGAATCCAGTCGGAGGGAAACCTTGTGGTAGATGGCGTTTGTTTTTTCGCGGCCTCACACGCCCAGAGACGTAATATTCCATTTCAAATCGCTTATAAGAGAAGTTTTAGTGGTACGGTGTAATTGTTGACATACTGTATTTCTTGGTTTCTTGGTGTTGTAAAGGAAGCGTGTCAAAGAAAGGGGAAAGTGCTGTCTTGTATAAAGCTAACCATTCGGCATTGCAGAATTGCAGATGGCGTTAAAGTCAACATGAAATGACATTCGTGACACATTTTACATTCGCAGTGAGTAAAACAGGATATTCAGTGAAAAAGAAATGTTGCAAATGTTTGGAATGTGAAAAGTGTAGGTTGTCATGGAAGGGTTAACGTTGAAAACACTGTGTTCTCTGAACATTCAAAATATCACATTTTTTTAATGTTTTAAATAAGATTTTTTTCTTGGTTATGCAAACATTACATTACATTTTAGCATTTTGCAAACATTATGGGGATGTTACTTTTGAATGTTCTCTGAACGTTCTGAAACAATAGTTTCAATGTTTCAGAAATAAAATGTTTCGTGAACAATGTATAACGTTTTCTGCTAACGTTATTAAAGACCTGATAACCCTGAATGAACACTGTAATAACGTTACTGGAAGAAAGTTTATTCATAACTTTGCCAGAACGCTCCCTGTTAGCTGGGTATATTGTCATTTGGATGAAAGATTACAAAGATTTGGAATAACGTGCATCGCTGAAGAACTGAAATTGAAATTCACGTTGACTTTAAAGCCTCATGCATTTATGAACACTAGATGTTTTCTTCTTCTCGACTTTTTAACAACTGGGCCATTCCAAACACTGCTGAAGGAAACTGTGAAAGTTGCACATTGTGTCTCTACTTTTATGTTGATACAAACTAATCAATGCAGTTAGTGAATACACTGGTTTTGGATTTCCTTTCTTTTCTAGTTTTTTATGTACGGATAAACCACTGATGAAGGGTTTTATGGTACAGCTCCACGATCTGGAATCTCTGCGCTCTGTCTGAACTAATGTCCATCAGTGGGTGTGTACGAGTGACTTGCATGCCACAACCAGAAGCCTGACTGTGTCTGTAACTGAAGGACATGCATCTTGAACCCTGTTAATACGTGTCTGCATGTGGTGTGAGTGTGGGCGTTTGTCTGTGACATGATTGGCTGTCGGGTGTGCGTCTACATGATCACAATCAGTATCCTGCATCGGTGCTACAGCACGTCCTTTCTCTCACCTGACTTTGTAAATAACTCTCAAAATGGACAAAAAAACATCTTCATAGCTGCCAAAAGACATTTCCATGATGTAAGATAGAATATTTACAAAATGTTTTAGATGAGCAATGCATTAATTAATAAATCTATTCATGTTTTACCCTTACTTTGACTCTCTGCTTTCATTCATTTGAATAAATGACCACAAAAGTACAGTATAATAATGCATATGTCTTGTGGGTTATATTGCAAGTCCTGTAAATGCGAGGAGCAGACCGAAATTTACTATTTGCAATGCTTTTAACATCAAATGTGTCATCTTTTTTTTTTTTGAGTGTACAAAGTTAAACCACAGTGAATTCATTTTTTCATTGTCAGTTGAGGCCTTTTTGTTATTAAAATAAATAGCAATATAGCAAATCTCAGCTGTGTGATCGTTGATATCATTGCATAATGTAAACCATATTATTGCACAGCTCTCTCTATATATAAAGATATATAAGTATATTCAACTTAATCTGCATACAAACAGTGCTCTTACTTAAAGCAAAATAGCAAATCTCAACTGCTTTGATTGTTTATATAGCTGCAAAATGTAAACAACATTATCATCCAGCTCTAATCTGCTAAATGCAATTATAAGGCAAGAAAATAATAAGATCTAAACATTAACATCATGATTTTCTGTAAATCTGCTTTGAAAAAAATTGTATGTGTGAAAAGTGCTATACAAATTAAATTGACATGACTTAGCCTGACTGACTTGATTAAAAGTCCAAAATTTGGTCAGGAAAATCTGGATTTAATCATTACATTGTGCATGAGTGAGTGTGAATCAGGCTTATTATTATTATTATTATTATAAAAAATGAAAACCATTAAAAAAAAACAACATTTTCATTACTTGAAATAAATTTTATTTCATTTTTAAATCATTTATTTAAAATATATTTCAACTTATTCAACTTAAGTTTCTCTTCTCATTTTCTTTTAGTTTAACAAAAATGGGGGAAAAAATAGACATATAGACAAATACTATATAGACAAAAAAACGAAACTAAGTTACTAAAACAACTCAAGTTAAAATGAAAACAGAAATGACAAAATATGAATAAAAATGATAGTAGTATATCAATGATACTAAAATAACAGCGGTGTGAAAGCTGATCTCTACCGGCTGTACATGATACTACAGGGCATAATATCTACTGTATTGTCATAGCAACTAGAGGTGGCTAGAAGCAGAGACCTTCACGCTCTCATATGAGGCCATTAGAGCAACAGCTGTTAAATGCTTCAGTTCAGTTTAATGTCCTGCTCATTATGCATTAAGCTTGTCTAAAGGAACAGTTCACACAAAAATAGAATTTCTGTTATCATTTACTCACACTCAAAATTCCAAAGTGGAATGTCTATATTCCAGGAGATATTCAGCAGAATGTTCACACTGCTCTTTTCCATACAAGGAAAACTCAAAAAAGGAAGCAGATGCTCTGTAATCCAAGCCATACGATAGCTTTGTGTGAAGAACAGATATGAATATGACTTGTTATAAGTTGTAACAGGTAAAAGGCATCCATTCCACCCCATTCACCTGTGCCTGATGATGTTTGTTCTTAGCAAGCCAGAAAACCTCCATCCACGGGCAGGATCACGCCGTTGGTCATGGCGCTCTTATCGCTGAGGAGGAAGAGGATGGAGTTCACCACATCCTCCACTTCTAAACAACACGATAAGAAAGACGCTTACTGCGCTTGTCAAACAGAAACACACTAGAAAAAACCAAAATCACTAGAGACTGCGGTTGTTGACAGACTTGGACATTCTGGGGTTTCATAAGCGTCAAAGTTTCACAATCTGCCACTGATGTCACTAAAACACGCTTACGCAATCTGCGCTAAATCCCAAATGCAGAAAGAGAAGCATACAAGCAAATAACTCTTTTATATTGCATTGGAAAGTGACAGCAACACTGCCAGTGTGAGTAACTGTATGTAAATGTAAACTGACCTCCAGTGAGATTTATTGGCATGTTAGTCTTGATTATTGAAACTTTCCATTGTGTTATGGTGACCTACAGTCAGACACACACTAACCTGCAAACTTCCCCAGAGGGATGCGTGACGTCATGCTTTTGGCTTTTTCTGGGTCACTCCATCCAATCTTTCCCATCTCTGTCATCACTACGGTCGGGTTCACGGAGTTTACTCTGATCTGTTGAGGTCACATTACATAAGACATCAAGTTCAATATACAGAAAACTGGCAAAGATTCGATTTTAGATTTGTCATTTTTAAATCAAATTCTACTTTAACCGTAATAATAATAAAATAATAATAATAATATTATAATTATTATTATTACGGCTAGTTTAAGTTTTCCATATAATAATAATAATAATAATAATGTCAATTTTTAAATAATAATGATAATAATATAATGACATATTTATTATATAATAATTATATATTATATAATAATGGTTATAAAAGCCATATAATAATAATAATTATTATTATTAATATTATTATTGTTAGTTTAAGTTTAGTTTAGATTTACCATATAATAATAATAATAATTAATACTACTATTATTATTTAAAAAAATTCATTAATTTATGGAAAATATGTTTACCAATAACTACAAACCAACATTTGGTCTTAATAATAATAATAAAAAAAATAAAATAAAAAAAGAGTAATTAAAACTGCAACCCTGTTACCTATTTTGGTGTTTTTACTGTTTTTATATTTTAAATATTATTTAAATTTAAAATATATTATTATTCTAATTATTATTATTACATAATGAAGATGATAATAATAATGATAATATATTAATATTAATTACAATAACATTATCATAATCATAACATAAATAATGTTAAACAGAAAATACACCAAACTTGGTAATTAAAACTGCGACCCTGTTATGCACGTTACTGTATATTTTGTTTATTATTATTATTATTATTATTATATAAAGATAACCATCATCATCATCTAAAAAAATCATAACTCATCATGATCATCACATTTCACTTTTCATTAAAAGAGTAACAACTGCGTTCAGGCCAACTTGGAAATCCACATTGTTCATTAATCACATCTAGCTCTCAAGAGTGATATAAAAAATAATACTGCATTGAATATATGTCCTCATGAGGTAGATATCATGAGTTTAATTAATCTGACATTCCTAGAATCTCAAGAATGTCAGGATCTGTACTCTGCTGTCCATTCAATTAGGAAGAGCAACAAGGTCAAAATGAACACACCACCCATCCCATAATTTATGGCGATGCACAAACAACTTTGCCATAAATATGCATTATTATCTGTCAGCAATTACATCCACTTCTTCAAGTAATTACAAAGCACATGTAATCGCCCATGAGACATTTAGCAAACAGATTTATATATTTAAGAGGGTGCTTGTTGATTGGCTTGAAGCCTCCTGGAAAGACCGTTCACCACAATGTACAATTTATTTCCCCAAAGCTGTAAACAACATATAATGAGCTCAGCGTCTGACAGATTTCATAAACATGATCTGACAAAGCTCTGGACTTTAAATCATGATTTAATAAGTAAAGAGGAGAGGTGAACCTGATCCGGCCCTAACTCCAGCGCCATCACTCTGGTCAGCATGTCCAGCGCTCCTTTAGTGGCACCTGCGTAAAACACCTTCAAATGATCATTTCAAAAGTGCACTTCAGTGTAGCATACACAATCTGGATTCAGAATTGGACTTGGTTATCGATTTAAGATCCTTCTCCAGTAACGCAAGGAAACCAGGGCCATTGATGTCAGCGATACTTGATTCTGATTGGTCAGTCTCTGAATATTTTGGTATAATGACCTTTAAAGTGTACACTTGACTCATAATTGATAATCGATCCAGTAACCAATTTTCTCCATAGCTGTCAAAGCTGAATTTTCAGCATCATTACTCCAGTCTTCAGTGTCACATGATCTTCAGAAATCATAATAATATGCTGATTTGGGCTCAGTTATTAATAATGGTTCTTACTTATTATTATCAATGCTGAAAAACATTT